GAACCTGCCGTAGCTCAACTCTGGATTAGGTTACACCCCGGGTTCAGTCAGGCTCTGGGTTTAGCAGCAAGGCTGCTATAAACCACTCGTTGCTCCTCCGCTGAAGATACTGAGGAATGATTCTGTATCTGCTGAGCACATGACAGTAGCTCAGCCATATGTACATTCCTCGCGAGTCAGCCGGTGACAGTGAGTGTTGGCAGCCTGTGCGGGAGGTCACAGCAGAGCCTGATCTTGGAATCAGGGCCATTCGAAGAGCAAGAATCACGCTTCATTTTTCCTCCATTCTGCGTTTCAAAGTGACCATGATACCAGGCCGACAGCATCTCCATGGTATCAGCCTCCAGACAGCCCTGGATGAGGGAAGGAGTGCACTGCACTCTGCCCATCAGAAAACCTGTGGGTCCATTGGAACAGTGTGAGGCAGTGTAGCTGCTGCAAACTGGTGACCGAGACTGGGACACCGAGCGGTCAGTCAGGCTCCAGGTTGTTACTGTCGTTTGTCTAAGCCGTTTCCTGTATTCTTTATCCCACAGTCACACCACTCGGCTCCTGGTGGGCAAGCACTCTGGTGTCTGAAAGCAGCATTCGCACTGAGTTAGAGTAGCACAAGACAAGGTGCACCCTTTATCGCTGTCCTTTTACTAAACAGGGTAAACACCAGGGCCAGGCCAATTGGCACAGCACAACAAAGTCTTGTTTCACCTGAGGTTTTGGCTCCGACAGTCACACGAACGGACATGATCCCAACACCTTCCAAACTAAACAGGTGTGACTGTGGTTAGAAGATGGGCCGGGTTTAACGGTGGAAACGTACAGGAGAGAGCGGCCCATCTCACAGGGGAGACTGCCTCACACGGGACACAGTGTACGTACAGCAGAAGCAACCATTGTGTTCCCTCTGACATGAACTGAAGACCAAATAGTCCCCAGCACAACCATAACCTCTGACCATGATATCCCACACAAGTCAGGGCAGGAGTCATGTTACCCCTCAGAATAATCACATGACCCATGCTGACCCCTTAGCATCTGCAGATCTGCTGTCCGGCGTGGAGGCCACTACATAAATCCAAGTTGTTGTTGCTGTTGTTTAGGAAAAACAACATCCGCCTTCTCCTTCTCCTTCTGCTTTTCCTGTTTACTCTCGTCTTTTTCTGGCTTTTAAAACATAAACCTTCAGATACCGAGAGGCTACAGGTTGCAGCCCCATCTCGCCGCCAACTAAAATAAAAGAGATAGCTCGACTGTGGACACATCAGAAAATGGACAAACCTGCCCCCAATCCTCTTTGTTATCTCAAGACTTTTCATTATTATGCCTCACGTTCGCTCGTCGTTTGAAAATAGTATATATTTAAGTGTTGTACTATTCTTTTGCAGGATTTAGTTCTGCTGGGTACATTTGGAGGGTGTCGAGGGTTGGTGAGAGTTCATACACATACAGGCATCAGTATGAATATCCTACTTACTGCTCCCATTTCATATGGCCCCATCAACTCAGGCCTGCTTCCCCTCCACTCTGCCTGACCATTTAGAGGGTGGGGGGGGGCGGGGTAGATTTGCTTTTCATCGCTTTCCCACTCCCACCCATCCCACTTTCTGTAAATTCTTCTACTTTGCTAGCTCCCTCCCTCTCAAAACCCATGTACAACGTTCCTCTCTCTTTGACACCACCTTTGTTCACCTTCTGCTTATCTCCCACTTCCCCCCAACACACACACACACACACACATCTCCCACCCAGCTCTGGTTCCTGCTGTTACCATAAACTGCTTTGAGACTCTCTTATTGAAAAAACATTAAATGTAAATTGCTATCCTTTGAGCACAGTGTGTGGTCCTCGTGCGCTCCCCTGTGGCCAGCTAAGGGAATGTTAAATATCCAATGACACTTAAAAAAGAGTTTTTCCCAGTGTTTATCCCGGCCAACAATTCCCCAGATAAAATTGGTTATTCACTTCACAGCTGTTTGTGGGGACATTGTTGGGCGTAAATTGGCTGCTGCATTTGCTTACAAATGAGCGCTAAGGGAACATTTCACTGATGTGATAAAGCATTGTATCCAGTGCAAAGATGTGTTTCATTGTTATGAAGGATTCAGCTCAAGAATGCTCCAAATCATTCATTCATTGCCAGAATGATCAGAGATCTGGAAACTCACTTCACTGAGCTCCCTGAAGAGAAAACTGAAGTTGATCAGATAATGGAAAGAGACTGGAATAACTGGGGAAATAAAAAGGATTTAGAGGGCAGTTCTGTATATAAATGTACCATTAATCTCTCTCGCCCTGTCCTCCCCTTATAACGTCATGTCAGTTCCATCAGGCCTATCTCGTTTCTTTGTTAATGAATAATATATCATTGCAAGTGCTTTTTTTCTCATGAGTGCAAATTCACTGGCAATAATGTGCAACAAATACATGGAAAACGAACCAAGACCTTTGGATACAGGATAAGTCTGATCTGGGAGGTGGAAAAATATTGAAGATTAATGGCAGTGACAGGTACTTATGGTGCTTATGTCAGTCAATATCTTCCTCATACCCTACTTACACTGCATCGATCGATCTCAATGTATTTGGTTGGCATGGCAATTCCTACATGAAGCGTTGTATCTGTGTGCATCTGTGGGTGAGATACAGGCAGCATTTTATTTTGTCAGACAAGTGTCTGACACATGCAGAAACCCATCACTGTGCTTACGAGTATCCAAACCAGACAGATATGCATTTCGCCGACACCCGGAAATTTCCCTGCATCTGGAACAGAAGGCGCACTCTCTCCCCAAAAGACATGCCCTGCTTACCCAATTCTGGGGAGTATTAGGCTCAGGTTGACAAGAGCCAAGGCTCGAGGCTTCCAGAATTTGCACTGAGGTAACAGATGGAGACTAACTAACTAAAACTGCATGGCTTGCCATCGAGAGCACTGTCTGGCAAGCTTCCCACTGCTTGTAGTTCTCTCGACTCTCTACCCCCTCCTCGCTCCCTCCCTCCCTTCCCTCCCCTCACCCTGACCATTTCCCCCCTCCTCGCTCCCTCCCTTCCCTCCCCTCACCCTGACCATTTCCCCCATGCTCGGGTCCCGACCCAACTGTCCAGCGCCTTGGGACGTCCTCCCAACGTGAAAGGCGCTCTATAAATGAAATCTTGTTGTTGTTGTTGTTGTTGTTTGACTTGCAGGGTTAAGAGCAGCAGAGTGCTAGTTGCATTACTGTCAGTTGAGTGTGCTGGGTGGATGGGGTTTCGAGCAGAGGAAAGAGATGGAATATTCAGTGGAGTTTTAGATGTAAATATTTAGCCCTTCACGGGATGCATTGCTTGTTCTGGAAAACTTATGGCATGGCAGCTTGCACCATCTCTTGGCCACCTTCAGCTACTGCATTTATGTATGTGGTTTGCGTGCTGCTGTGCGTGTTGATTTCATACCATCGATCTGGTGGCTGGTACAGCCCAGCGCTGCTCAGGAATAAAAGTCGCGAGCCGTGGTTTCTAATGAGCCTGCAGCCCAAAATTCCACCCAATTTTAGCCCTTGAGACCAATATTGCCCCCTTAATATTGAGGGTGTGTCTAAATTGTGCAGAATTGTGGGAGGGAAAATATCTTCAATCCAGTTTTAACTTGAAAGCCAGTTTTGTAACAATAACAATTTGCAATTGGCTGTCGCATTTCGGCCACTAAAAAAAAGAATCCACACTGCAGAATATTCTGTGAATCGTTTTGAGGTGTCACAAAGACAGAAGATAAGGTGCTATATCACATGCAAGGTTTATTATTATTATTAGATACATCTGATCACGTCTTCGAGATGCCTAAAATCACTTCAGAGTAAAATGTGCGGTGACTTGTATTTTGTAGGTGAGCCTTTCGCCAGTTCTTAAAGGGAAATCAGCTTCTAAATTTAGAGCGAACTGATGAATTTTCCACAATTCTGAGCAATTTAAAATTTTTGAGAGAAACCAGTCTCACAGCCCACTCTCGTGAGTCTCTCTGAGAGTGAGCTTGCAGAGATTTATGCCCCAGGGAATTTCTTCTGCCCTGGGACCTGACATACTGGCATTGGCACTTGCGCAAAGCTGAGTAGCTGATGCACAAAATACAAAGTTCTGGAAAATCTATCAAGAAAAGCACTGGCCAGATTCCATCTGCTGCTACACCAAAATACCCAGCCACTCCACTTTACAGTAAATCTTGTAAAGAGCTTTGAAACGTGAGGAGTGCGGTATCAAATGTAAAGATTATTTTTACTGTTAAACCCACATGCGAAGACGCAGAGTGAAAGATACAGCCAGGGGCTGACTCTCAGACAGAAGGATTCCAGACCCAGTCTCGGCACGTTCTGCTGCTCAGGATAGTTCAAAGTGGCGACGTGAGGAGCTGTCAGTTTCACTGAGTACATTTCATGTGAAAACCAGTGTCTGATCGTGGGAGAGAGAGAAAGGGGAGAGGGGGGGGGTGATTGGCTAACTCACTCAATAGTAACAATCCTTACATTTGATACAGAGCCTTATCATGTCGTCAGAATGTTCTAAAATGATCCTGTGAAGGCCTTAAGGATGTCAAGGCCTTGGAGAGGGAGCAAAGGAGATTTACCAGAATGATACCAGGGATGAGGGATTTCAGTTGTGTGGAGAGACTAGGTAAACTGGGATTGTTCTCCTTAGAACAGAGAAGATTAAGGGGAGATTTAATAAGATTTGTTCAAAATTATGAGGTGCTTTGATAGAGTAAATAAGAAGAAACTGTTTCTACTCTTGGGTGGATCAGTAACCAGAAGACACAGATCCAAGATAACTGTCAAAAGAACCAGAAAGGAGATGAGTTGCGGAGAAGTTTTTTTTAATGCAGCAATTTCTTACGATCTGGAATGCACTGCCTGAAAGAATGGTGTAAGCAGATTCAATAACACCTTTCAAAAGGGAATTGGATATTTACTTGAAAAGAAAAAAATTGCAAGGCTTTGGGGAAAGAGCGGGTGAGTGGGTTTAATTGGAAAGCCTTTCAAAGAGCCAGCGCAGGCACGATGTGCCAAATGGCCTCCTTCTGTGATGTAATTCTATGATGCTATGACCTACTGCTGAATGTAGTGACATCCATCTGAACCAGACTGTGTGTTTTGTGGGCGCCTGTGGATCCGTGTGTCCAAGCTCAATATATATTATGCAATGACCAGCTCCGTAGTCTGCTTCCCTGGCTGCTCAGTGCGGCCCACAGTCAGAAACCTCAATCGACTTCGCCCATCGAATGGTACTCGATGTTTCTGGAATATCTCCTTCTAGCCTTCGCAAAGAAGTCTTCTGCTGCGTCCAGGGAGATGAGTCGGTCCTGTCAATGGCAAAACATTTTTCTTTTTAACACTCCCGGCGCCGATCCTGAACTAACAGGTGGTGTAAGAACCAAACCACCCTCCCCACCATAAGCTGGTTTCTACTGTAAGACCTGTCCTACAGTCACCTCCCCCTTCCCCACTTCTCTCTACTCAGCATCCCTCCCACCAATGTTAAGCGCTCAGAGATGTTGTTCTACGTTTAAGCCGAGCAGTAAGTAGGAACTCAGTGGTTCGTCGATTGGCGGATCGCTTTTCTGGGGGTAATAATTCCTTCCAAAAAAAATCCACAACTGTTGTGGGACACTGCTGAGAGCAATTGGCTGCCACGTTTCGCCCACAAAATATACAGACAATTCACTTTACAGTATATTTTGTGAAGCGCTTTGAGACGTCTAGAAGACGTGATAAGGCGCTATATCAAATGCAAGGATTATTATTATCTCAAAGTGCTTTAAGATTGGCTTTCAATTCCAACTCACGTTCGTTTGCGCTGCGCTTGAAGACATTTATTTTACGTGACAGAGAAAGGCACCACCGAGATCGAAGGTCTTATTAAGTAACATATTGGGAGAGGCAGCTCAGTCACAAATCTGAATGCCTGAAGAGATATTTCAGTCTGGAGAAGCAATTTGAGATAACACCAAAAGTGATACATTTAGTCTATTCCCACACAGCATGGCGCTCACTCACCAGCACGTAAAGATATCTCTCTGGCACCTGACGTCCGTTCAGGAAGATGTTAGTTTCTCTTGCTAATTTCTGTAACATTTCTTGGGATCTTGGCAAGTTCTGAGTGTGCATTGTACTAGACTTGGACACACACAGCAGGGTGTCTGCTTCATTTTGAAAACCTGGGAATCGATATCAGAATTAATAACTTTTTATTGCCTTTCATTGTATCAACCGCACAACTACTGCAGACAGAGTACGCGCACACACAAGACACTGGACTGGGGACAAGAACAATGTCAATGAATATTACCCAGTTCTTCTAAGATCCTTTTCCAACGGTTTCTCAGTTCTCTCCGAGTCTGTCTCAAAGTGTGTATGTCGTAGTTAAGCTTCTGCCACTCCTGTGTGAATAAAGAGCTGTAGTTATTGCTCTACATTTCAGCACTCCGAGACGCTATCCTGTGTGAAGGATAAAAGCAGGTTCTTGCTGTTGTGATTGCTCTGTCTCAATGCACATCCAGCACAGGGCACGAACTGCCTTTCATTCTACCTTTACACATACAGTGACTTCCGGCAACTTTGACACCATCTCAAATGCAAAGAGAAATAGAAGGGAGTTTCTCCTGGTGTTCTGGCCAACAATCCCCCAGATAAAATGGCTCATTCACTTTGTGGGTGGTTGTGGGAACTTGCTGTACACAAATTGATCGCTGGCAGGATTTTTCCCACCGACAACACTGCCACTGCACTTAGCAACATTTTCCTGTGAAGCGCTTTATTGAGATATTCCGACGCTGTAGACACTGGATCAAACTAAGGGATTATTATTATTATTATCTTTAGAATCATTATAACCATTCTTATTGATGTAGAAACAACCCTTGAGGAGAACTGACCTCATAAACAAGGAGTGGGTAGCCATGTTCTGTAATGTCATTAGTTGAATTGAATTATCTTTCACCTCCCTGCACCCAGTGTGTTAAGTGCTGGGTGCTTCTCTGGAGGATATTTAGTGCTTCAGACAAGACTATACAGCTCAAATCTTTACACTGCAGCTAAAATCAGTACCAGTCTGCAGACCCCCTACCCCACCCCACTGTGAACTCCACCTTACCACCCAACTCCGCTCACTCTTTGCCAAGCTAACTAATAATAATGATGTTTGCACTAAGACGTCTTAAAGCATATCACAGGATTTTACTGAAAAGTGTATTGACTGTGTATTTCATAGGTGAAAGTGGCAGCCAATTTGCACCACATAATGTCTAACAAAGAGCCATGTTGTGAATGATTGATGTTGTGGGGGGCGGGGGGGGGGGGGGGGGGGGCTTATTTTTGCTAGCCAGGACACCACGAGAAACTCCTTCCTTCTCAACTTGTTAAGAAAACATATACTTGTACTTGTCTCTCGCGGAACATAGTTTTTTTGTTGAACAGCTCATTTGCTCAGGAGCAAGTCTAAACTCTCGTGGCGGTACATGTCACCCAGTGCTATGGAAACCAAATCTATAATGCCATGAGTTCCCAGCAATGTGGACAGTTAAAGTGAAAGAGGACATTGCATTTTTCTTTGAAATGAGGAAACTACAGTATAGGGCACCATCTAAAAAGCAGTTGGAGGGTGGGGTGGAAGAAAAAGAGAGAGGAGGGGGGGGGCAGGGGAGGATGAAGCAGTCCTGGTTTGAGGACACATAGCTAATGTTATTAAAGTCTACATAGTTGGCATTTCATTGTTGTTGGTAACCAGATGTGCATCTCACTGTCGGTGTCTTTCTCCTTCAACCCCGCACCCCCCATTTATAAGTGTAAATGGGTGTTATATTCTGCCGTCCTTCAGACAGGATATTAAACCAAGGCCCCCATCTGCTTGTTTGAATGGACGTTAAAGATCCCATGGCACTATTCGAAAAGACAAAGGGGTTTCTCTTCTGCTGTTCTGGCCAAAAATCCCCCAGATAAATTTGGTCATTAACTTCATTGCTCTGTGTGGGACATTGCTGTGCACAAATTGGTGCTGCCTTTTCCTACAAAATACAGTCACTACACTTTACAGTATATTCTGTGCTTCTTTGGGATATCCTCCCGACGTGTAAGATGCTATATAAATGCAAATTGTTGTTGTTGTTCAGATGTCTGCTTGAAGTGAAAGATACAATATGAAATGTAAGGATTACGGTTATTACCCACTTATGCAGAGTTCCAGCAGCGGTCACAAGCCAATTTTTCCCACCTCCCTCGCCTTCAGCTCCAGGTTAGAGCAGATAACTCAGCAGTGTAAAAAAATGCAGAGTAATTGGGCATTTTGGGACAAAAAAGTATTGACATTTTTATAAGATTCGTCAGAGGATTTAAGTACGTGAGCTTATCTTAGTTACAATGCGGTTACTATTCACCAAGCACAATTCTTATAGTGTAATTTCACTTGCTGCTTTCTTTTTCTCTCTCTCCCTCCCCATCTCTCCATGCAATTTACTGAGAGAAGTGTGCACTTACATGCCTGAATGCATGACCGATTCCTTGACAAAAATGGATTTTATTGTTAAATCAGCTTTACCCTTGGCGAAAGGCACAGTGGTGTCCAGCCAGGCAGTGCTTCTGCAGGGCACGAAGGCTTTGTCCATGTGGTGTTAGAAGAGAAAGCTATTGCAGAGTCCGATTTACAACTTGGTGACTCAGCATTCCCCATGCCCCTCACATTCACAGGGACAATAGTTGACCTATTCCTGGTGAAATATTAACCACAGATAACCACAGCAGCATATCACATCAGATGGACGTTTCAAAACGCTTTACAGGATATACTGTAAAGTGATTGTATTTGGTAGGCAAATGCTGCAGCCAACTTGAACCAAGCAATGTCCCACAAACAGCCATGAAACGCATGACCAATTTTATCTGGGGCATTGTTGGCCAGGAAACTGGGACGCTGGAAAACTCCCTTCCCTTTTCAAATAGTGCCACTGGAACATTAACATCCGTCCACTTGAACAGGCAGACGGGAACTCGATTTAACGTCTCATCCACCGATGCCACCTCTGACAATGCAGCACTCAACAACAACAACAAGATTTCATTTATAGAGCGCCTTTCATGTCGGGAGGACGTCCCAAGGCGCTGGACAGTTGGGTCGGGACCAAAGCAGGGGGGATATGGTCAGGGTGAGGGGAGGGAAGGGAGGGAGCGAGGAGGGGGGTAGAGAATCGAGAGGGGAGCTGAAGGCACGGTCAAAGAGGAAGGTCTTGAGACCGGCCTTGAAGGAGGAAAGGGAGGAAGCAAGGCGAAGGCACTGGGGGATAGAGTTCCAGAGCCTCAGGGCTGAGAGGCTGAAGGCCCGGACACCGATGGAGGGCGGTTAGGGCGGGGGATGTGGAGCAGACCGGAGCCGGAGGAACAGAGGGTACGGGCAGGTAGGTAGGGGGGTAGTAGGTCGGAGAGGTAGGAGGGAGCAAGGCCGTGAATGGCCTTGTGGGTGAGGATGAGGATCTTGAATTCGATCCTCTGGGGGATGGGGAGCCAGTGGAGGCGAGCGAGGGTGGGAGTGATGTGGTCGCGAAGCCTGGTGCGGGACAGTACACGAGCTGCAGAGTTCTGAAAAACCTGCAGCTTGTGGAGGTCGGCGAGGAGAGAGTTCCTATAGTCCAGCCTTGAGGTGATAAAGGCGTGGACCAGAGTTTCAGCAGCGTGAGGGGTGAGGTAGTGCCGTAGTCTGGCGATATTCTGGAGGTATACTCCCCTCTCTCATTTTACTGAGTGTCAGCCTGGACTATAAGTTCAAAGTCCGTTGTGGGGCTTGAAACCACAACCTTCCGACTCAAGTGGTGGGAGTGCTACAGTACCATATGAGGCAGACTGACAAGATTTAGGATAAGACTGAGATGAATAAATACTGCAGATTTTCCAGAAAAGGAGGCCAGACCAGGAGATGAAGGGCATGAACCAATGGGGAGACATTAGAAAAGTAATTGGACACTAAATTTATCTTAAGAAAAAGACCTTTCACCAGCTGTCAATGTGCACTATAATAATAAAATAATAATAATCCTTGCATTTGATATAGCGCTTTTCATGTCTTCTAGATATCTCAAAGCGCTTCACAGAATATACTATAAAATTAATTGACTGTATATTTTTGTGGGTGAAATGCAGCAGCCAATTGCGCACAGCAGTGTCCCACAAACAGTCATGGATTGAAGTGACCGATTTTATGATTGTTTTTTTTCTTGAGGGATTATTATTAGCCGTGTGGGGTAAGGAAACTTGCTCAAGGTTTCGAACCTGGTCTCTCGCTTGCGAGGCAAGTGCTCCAACCACCGAGCACTGATTCTATTTTGTTCTGGTTAAACAAAATATCATTGGTCGGTACTTATTAATCGAGTGGTACTTTGTGATGGAAAAGTAACATTTAGAAAATAAACCCATTACAATAAGTGGTTCTTAAATTAAAATGACCTTATCACCGTTCATTGCAACAGCCCCTAATTTCTGGTAGGCTCTATACTTTACTAATTATCTACACACACAATACAGAATTTCCTGCATGTTAACTGCGCTTTACAGCTCCATAAACCCTACTATAATGGTCTCACAATTATCATGCATCAAGGGTAGCAGGAGCAGGCATCCACATTGAAAGCCACTATGGACTGAGTTGGGATGAGCTGCAATGAGAGGCTGGGTGGAGGGGTTTAGGGCCAATTTGATTGAGGCATTTAAAATAACGAAAGGGATTGACAGGTTCGATAGTGGACAATGCTTCACTGTTGTAGAGGGATCCATTACAAGGGTGGCGTAGCCGTAAAGATCAATTTTACTGAAAAGTGTAGAGACTGTGTACTTGTAAGTGAACATGGTAGTCAATTCTACTCACAGCAATGTCCCATATCAGCCAAGAAGTGAATGACTGATTATATTTGGGAAATTGCTGGCCTGAAATTGCCAGGTTCCTGCGAATGAAATGAGAAGGGCCACCTGCCTCCTCCCATCACTAACTGCCATTCACGAACCTCAGAGTCTTTGTCAGTCTCGTTTCTTTTCAGGATCAGGCTGTACAGTTCCCGGTCGTCATCGGCCACGATGTGAGAGGAGTCATGGGGCGTGCTCCACAGGTTCCTTTCGTCGTTCCTGGGGCTTTCCAGCTGGCTGCTGTAAGATCGTCTTCTGGCATTGCTGAGAGAGGAGAGAAGCAGCGACACTCTGAAGGTTGCATGCAGTCTGCTCTCCTGATAACCGACCACGCTTTAGAGAAGCTAAGAAGAATTGGCTTTAATAATAATTGGCTAATAATAATAATAATAATAATCCTCACATTTGATATAGTGCCTTATCACATCTTCAAGACAGCTCAAAGCGCTTCATAGAATAGACTGCAAAGTGAATTGACTGCATATTTTGCAGGCAGGCGACACACGGCACCGAATTGCACACGGTAGTGTCCCACAAAGAGTCGTGGATTGTGTGTCCAAATTATTATTATATTTTGAAGGAATATAAAGAATAACCCAGAATTAAAACATGCATTTACATAGCAATATCCCTTCCCGTAGGACAACATCTCTGCCCGCTTCACAATGACAGCAACAGGCGCTAAGCAAGGGAGAGGGGAGAGGGCAAGGGGGAACGTGACGAGGTTTGATCAAAGAAGCAGGTTTTAAGGCAGGATTTAAAGACAGAGAGTGGAAAAGATGAAGAGACAGAGTAAAGGAGCAAGTTCCAGAGAGGTAAACGGTGTACAATCTGAAGGCTCAACCATCGGTGGTAGCACAGAGAGTGCAGAGGGAACGCAGCAAACCCAAGTTAGCTGAGCGATGGCCAGCAGAGGAATGGAGTCGGAGAGGGTCAGAGAGATGAAGATGCTAGTGCATGAAGCAATTTACAAGTGAGTGTGAGAACCTTGAAGTTGAAATATAGATAAGTGGGATATAAAGCCACTGACACATTGAATCTATAACACTAAGCCCTGTAATATCTACTTATACACAGACGTGATAGCCAGATACCCAATGCAGCGAACAAGCTACTCAAGGAAAGGGTGGAAGGAGGAAGCAATGCAAATTTAGTTACTGATGGCATTTATCCCATCACCTGATTAATGAAACCCATGATATGTACAAAGGAGCGAGGGCGGGGGGGAGGGGAGGGGCGGAATGTGATCTGGCAATGCTGAGAATCTAAACTGGATCTTATTCCTAATCTATGTCAGGAGGAGTCACTAATTTGCAAGGAATTCAGGTCAACATTATGACTCCAGTAAAATGCTGACTAACACACCATGAAATTACGAGGTTAAGTCGACGCCAAGTCATCGAGTGGGGCAAAGATACCAGGCAGCTGAAGGAAGCTTCCCTTATGTTTACAGCGCCTGATAACTACCAGCATTAAAGTTCGAGCTGTTTGTTTCAGACAGAGGTCTTTTCAACATATCACATGTGTGCGTGAAGCCAGGATAATATCTGTGGCATCAGAACAGATTTTTTTAAAAAACTGAAGTCACGGGGCATAAACATGTTAAGAAAAAAGTCGAGATTTTTAAAAAATCTCTTGAGTCTATCAGAAAAGTGGAGAGGCAGAATCGTTTGGAGGTAGAAACTTTGAGCTCACAGTCCAAGCTGACACTCCAATACAGTCCTGGGCAAGGCTGCATTGTCAGAGGTGCCAACCTGCGGATGTTAAAGGTGTTAAACAGAGGTTCTGACTGCCTGTTCAGGTCGACATTAATATCTCCTGGCACGACTTGAAAAAAAAGAGAATGGAGTTTTTCCCGGTGTCCCGGTCAACAATCCCCCCAAATAAAAATTCGTCATTTGCTTCACATTTGCTTGTGGTATATTGCTCTGTGTAAATTGGCTGCCTCGTTCAACCACAAATACAGTCACTGCACTTCACAATAACATCTTCTGAAGCACTTTGAGACATCTGGGTGTAGTGATATCATTCTGTATCAAATGCAAGGGTTATTAATTAACACTTTATTATTAATTAAGCTGAACTGGCTCCAAGGAGACATGCCTGGCAATGGAATGTCAGAATCAAGCCAGACCTCTGTGGCAGTCTTGGTAATCCGGTTTCTGAGCCAGTCGGGTCTGCGGTATTCCAGGGCACTGCTGATGCCAGCACAGCCAGCCTGGCTCATCAGCAGGACCTGGAAGGGGAAACCAAACACTGGGGGTAGGGAGTCTTCCTACTCAACTCCTGTTAACCCTGCAAATCAAAACCCTAACGGGTAGGGTGGACCTAGCTGGACAAGCAACAGGAAAGCTTTCCGACAGCAAAATCAATGGCAAGCTATGCGGTTTTAGCTGGTTAGACTCCAGCAGTAACCCAACTCACACTCTGGGGACCCCAAGCCTTGACTCTTGCCAACCTGCGCCTAATACTATCCAGAACTAGTTAAGCAGGATGAGTCTCTCCAGGGAGAGAGTGTGCATTCCGTTCAAACAATCTATCTCTGGGATTTCCATATGTAGGTGAGGTACATGGAAATCTCAGCTTGGTTTGGATACTTTTAAGCTTGGTGATGGGTTTCCACACGTGTCAGACACCCGGCTGACCCAAAAAAATTGTTGAATAATGCCATGAGATCTTTAACGCCTGAGCAGGCAGAGAGTGCTTCTGCTTAATGTCACATCTGAAGGATGGCACCTCTAACAATGCTCACTCAGTACTGCACAAGAGTGTTACACTGGACTAGAAACTCAAAGCATCAGCTTGGCTGGGTTGGTAGCACTCTCACCTCTGAGTCAAATAATCATCAGTTCAAACCCCAGCATAGGGACTGTGGGCTCACAGTCGAATCATTAGAAAGTGCTCGTTAGCATTAACTACCATCCTCCTTCCGATCCGAGCAAGTTAACAATTCATCTAGGAGAAATTACACCCAGGTCTAGGTTTACTTTATGTTTTTAGTATTTCCAAGTGTCCAGAAGTTCGTAAATTTGGGGAAAACACAGCCTTGATATTGAAACCATTTTTTTTCTTTAAGTTCCTTTTATGAGCCACAGAAAATTAGCTTCAAAGTTAAGACTGGATTTAACAATTTCCCGAAGTATTGCATACTCTAAAAATCTAGAAGAGTAAATAATACAATAACAACAACAACATGTGTTTATATAATGCCTTTCATGCAGAATTTCGCCCACAAATATACGGTCAATTCACGTTACAGTCTATTCTGTGAAGCGCTTTGAGACGTCGAGAAGACATGAAAAGCGCTATATCAAATGCAAGGATTATTATAGCATAGCGTCTTGGGGCGCTGTATAGTGGCAGGGTTGGATGCCAAGAAATGGAGAAAGTGAAGGGGGAGGTGACCATTGGTGCAGTCAGAGGTAGGTCTTAAAGTGGGATTTAAAGCGAGAAAAAGGGGGGAGCGGTGGAGGGATTGAGGCAGGCGGGTCCAGAGGTTAAGGTCATTGTGGCTAACGGCACAGCCACTGATGGTAACACGAGGACATGGGCAGAGGAGAGGGATATGAGCAGCTCACAGATAGGGAGGTGCTAGGGAGTGCAGAGATCTGTACACAAGATTGAGGACCTAGAAGTTAATCCTTCCAGTGACGAGGAGCCTGGCAAGGATTGGGGTAATGGGTGTGCGGATTTTGGTACGGTGAGGATGTGGGTGGCAGAGATTTGGATGAGCTGGACCTTATGGATGGTGGTACTGGGTGGGCCAGTGAGGAGGGCGTTTGAAAAATCACCCTCGTGTTTGATGAAGCACCTCATCACATCTTCTGGGTGGTGGAGGGGGGAAGGGGAAGCATACCTCAAAGCACTTCACGGGATATACTGTAGTGTGTAGTGACCGTGTATTTTGTAGGCAAAATGTGGACGCAGGTGGAATTTCCCTCCTCGATTGGCGGATCTCTTTCCGAGGATAAAAATCTCTCGAAAAAAAGTCACTCAATCCACGAATGTTTGTGGGTCACTGCTGTGAGCAATTAGCTACCGCATTTTGCCCCTCAAAAATACACAGTCACTACACTTTACAATATGTCCTGCGAAGAGTTTGAGAGGTCTCAACAACTTGATAAGGCACTCTATCAAATACAAGGATTATTATTATTATTATGATGATTGTGATTATTATTAAGACAAAATCAGCCTTGTGATAAAACGCTCGTAAACCACAGTGCAGTCCTGACTGTCGAGTGTGTTGGTACACTGACTGCTATCACTGCTTAACCCCCTTTCCCCAACATTAAACTTTGCCTTACCTGATCAGAAGTTCCTTTTCCTGCGTTTTGTCCACATCCAAACACTTAAAGCAACAGATCGCACTCAGAAAGTCCTTTGACTCCATTGATCTTTCGAGTGAAATAAAAAAACACACACACACACACAAATCCCTCTCAAATTCCTTTGGAGTGGGGGAGAAGAGAGGGAGAGAGAGAGAGAGAGAGAAAAAAAGTCAGCAAGCACATAGGAACAGTAGCTGGAAGTTTGGGAGTCCCAACTCTTTGAAACCTGCCTTCACTTGCAGTTCAAGGTCAGTGTCAACTGGATCATAAACTCCCACTGGGACTGCATTTGTGTTTTGAAATTACTTAAAGTAAAACTGAAAAAAAGATCCGTGGCAGCATTTACTGGTGTAAATCCGATTGGATCACCACTATCTCTCCTTCTGAGTTGCTCTTCTCTCCCCTGTCGATCAGATTTTACGCAGAGCGCAGACGCGTCGGGGCCAAAGTGAAACCCAACAAAGGTCACAAAACGTTGCAACCGATTGAAGGAGCGATGGTGAGTTATGCTGTCAAGAAGGCTGCACAACAAGGTTTAATACAAACCACTGCACCCACCCACCCCTCTCTCTCGGTCCAAGTTCCAGCTTTCAGGGGGAAAAAAAAATTAAAGCCTGACGAAAATAAATGAACCTGTTCTTCAAGGTTTATATGAGACCCAGAAATTGTACAGGTGAGGATGAGGGCTGTTAACCCTGTTCCCGGGGGGTGGGGGGGTAGTGGGGGTGTGTGTGTGTGGGGGGGGGGTGATAATCCCTTCAAAATAAATAAATAACATTATTTGGTCACTCAATCCACAGTTGTTTGTGGGGCGATTGTGCGCAATTGGCTGCAAAATATGTCCAGTCGATTCACTTCACACTATATTCTGCGAAGATCTTTGAAACGTCTTAATGACGTGAAAAGGCGCTATATCAAATGCACGTATTACTGATATTGTATTGCCAAAAGTATCCTTTCCCACTTACTGCAACTTGTTAGTCAGTGATGTTGCCATTAGATAGGACGTGGAGAAACACTATTGGAATTCCTTGTTTAAAGGGTACTTTACAATATATCTTATTGCCTTCACCTGCTTACACTTACCAGATAAGAGGGCGTTTGCAGACTTTGCTCCATTAAGGAACTGTAGTTTATTTGGAAAAGGCTTATGAAATCATTTTCCTCACAACTCATGCAGTCTGTTTTATACCTAAAGGTTGTTTGTAAAGTTTAGCAGAAGTTTTTAAACAGTATAATCTTGATCTACTCTGCATGTGTAGTGCTCAGAATTTGACAAATTGTTGAATTCCTTCTCAATTTCAAAGTCTTTTTTTCTCTGTAGTTCTTAAACTTGCAGAAAACCAGCTTCATAAGTAAGACTGGACTGTAAGAATATGCCAAATTTTGGACACTCCAAAATGCTATGTAATCTGAGTAAATCTAGACCCAGGTGGGATTTCTTTCCAGTGGTTCCTTATCATATCGGATGCATTCTAATCCAGTGCATGTTAATTTGTTCCCAGGTTCACTGACCTAACATCGATACTGAGAACAACTGTGATTTGATGTCAGCGTAGGGAGGCACAGTGCAAGAATACTAAATGGACAGTCTTTACATGTTACAAAAAACTCTGAAATGTTTTGAGATGCTTGGACATGATAAAGCGCTATTATCAAACACAAGGATTGTTATATTAATACTGGCCCAACAGGACGATCTATTGGGAAACAGCCGTGGATGGTTCCTAACAAGCGGTTTGGATTGTAAATACTTAGAAGTGCTCGACAGTTGCTTAGCACTCACCAGATCTCACTTGATGGAGTATTGGAGTCAGTTTCGAACTCCCAAGTTTAATGATATTTGGACCTTGGTGGACATCAGATGACGATTCACCAGATTAATATTTGAGTTGAAGGGGCTCAGTGATGATGAGAGGCTCGGTAGACTGGGATTATTGACTGAGGTGAAACATCTCATGATCACCCACATCAAACATCACATGACTATCACCCAAATCCTCACCAGGCTTCATTGCCTCCCTCTACAAGTCTATACACAGTATACAGACCTGGATCACGTCCCCTTACAGTCTCTACACAGAATACAGACCTGGATAATGTCCCCTTTTAATTTTTTTTACAATAAAATCAGGTGTGGTTCTGTGAGTCTCTCTGAGATTCCTTAGTGAATGAATCCACTTTGACTCCAAAACATCTAGGTTATCAAAACTGAGCACAAAGTTCCATATTGTCGCTGAACCAGTGCTGCGTATAAGATTAGCTCAGCTTGTTTCGAGGGTTTAATCAAATCACATAGCATGATGAAATGCAGCGCTTGTTTACAAAACAAAGGCAAGAGGACACCATCTGGGGGCCAGAACTATAGGCGCCCACATAAACATAGGCTGTGTCCTGTTCTTTCTTCTCCAGAGCAATGAAGAGCATTGGCCAGATGTTTGCTTTCACGCCATGTTAGTAATTAGATTTCAATGTATTCTGGGCAGAGAAGGCTCAGCAGATTCTTATCATTGAGAGCTCACGTATAACACCATCTGCAGACCCAAAACATCATTGCTTGTGATTTTTAATAAGCTTCAAAAATAACTGGTAAACAATTTCTCCGACTGTGGCATGACTCTATCGCATCAGTAACTGAGATTGCCCATGTTCATGCCTTTAGCTCCAACAGTAACCTCAATGCACTGCTGCACCTAAAGGCACCAACACTGGCAATTTCAGAACTTCAGAACACTGGGGAACCCGAGCCTTGGCACCCAATAATTTCTGGGATTAGATAATCTAGGTGGATCCTTCTGGGGAGCATGTCCTTATGCTTCCCATCAGCTCTGTGAAGCATTTTGAGGCATCTCTCAATGTGAAGTAGATCAAAGAGACAGGTCTTGAGGAGGCCTGTAAAAGTGCAAGGCTTTTCCTTCTACGCTTGTTCCAAATTCACTGCCTTTTCTTCAACACACGCAACGCAAGGTTGCAGATGTGGCCAAAATCTGGGGAGATTCAAAAGCAATGGTCACAAAGCAACCGTTGGGATCATGGTTGATTTCAGCCAGTTTATTAGTAAAACCCCATGATCCAGAAGTGGCAACCCATAGTCCTATCTATTGCCTCCACTTCATTTTTGCTCTTTCTACAACATAGGCCACAAACCAGCACCTACGGCAAGTGGAATAGATTCCGTCATGGTGGCACTGATAGGCATTGCTGGCCTTTCAATGAGATGTTAAACTGAGTTCCCATCGAGCTGTTCAGTTGGAGATCATGGGAGTTAAAGATCCCTTGGCCTTACTCGAAAAGAGAAGTGAGTTTATTCCAGTGTTCTTGCCAACAATCATCCAAATAAAATTAGTCACTCATTCCATGGCTGTTTGTGGGAAATTGCTGTGTACAAATTGGCTGGCATATTTGCTCACAAAATAAACACGGTCATACAACTTTGCAGTACATTCCATGAAGCACTGAGACGTCTCGATGACGTGATAAGAATAACAAATGCAAGGATTTTACTATTATGATTCAAGGTACTTGAAAAAGAGAAATATTAAAGAGCATGGGGAGTAGAGCATGATAGTGGGATTTGATCAGGGTGCTGGTGTAGAGAAAACCAAGGACGCAAAAAGCCCAGTGCTTCAGTTTCGTGCTGTAATATTGTATGATTGTCTGATGTCCTGCAGCACAGGACAGAGAGAGCGAGAGAGAGTAAAGCTCCCTCTAACTTCTCCCGCCGGGCATTCTCAGGTCAGTGGCCACACACAGACAGACAGAAACAGTGTAAAGAACCAGCACAAAGAGAAAGAGTAAAGCTCACTCATCCTTGTCCCACTTAGGCAACTATGTTGAAAACAACAATATAAGCGGAATCATTTGAAATTAAATTGAAAAATTTGAATACAACAACAACAAATTGCACTTTATATAGCACCCAGACGTCCCAAGTCAAGGGTTAAGTTAAGTTAAGTGTTCGCACCCGACCAGACTTTTGAAAACAATATAATTTGAATCATATGAAATTCAATTTTAAAAAATACTGTGTTGGCAGACTCTGACCCGAGCAACTATACTGAACCAACCCATCAGACATTGACTCTCACAAGCTACACTGAACCAGCCTGGCACTGTATCTCTGCAACTGCACTAAACTAACCCCGACAGACACTAATTTGATGCATACTGATTCAGCCATGGTAGACCCTAACCCTCAGTGGATACACAAAAGCATCCTGGCACACTAATTGTATCCATACTGATCCAGCTCGAATAAGCATTGATTGCTGTGATAGAATCAGCCTTGGCAGACACTCTCACTCAGCAACTGCCCGTAACCCATCCTGGCAGACACTAATTGTGCAGCCAAACTGAACCAGCTCTGGCACACACTGATCTCAGCATCTACACCAAACCAGTGCTCTCAGATACTGTCATGGCACATGCACTCATCTTAGCAGTTATACACAACCAGCGTGAGCTGACACTGATTCTGCAGCAACATTTGAACCAGCCCTGGCAGCCACTAATTTACAGCCCAACTGAACCAGCCCTTGTCACACACCGACTCTCAACAGCAACACTAAACCAGCCCTGGCGGAAAACTGAACCAGCCCTGTCTGACACTGACTCACAGCAACACCACTGAACCAGTCATGATAGAAGCTAATTTGTAGACCTACACTAAACAATGTACTTCAGGCCACTTAGGATGACACTTTAAAAGTTTGTTAAACCCCAGTTAAACTCAAACCCTTTCAAATTTCTCTTTAAGATATTCATATTAAAATTGTTAGCAGTGCTTTTCCCTCCCTAACCCCGTTTTCTCTCTTTTTCACTCTCTCTCTCACACACATTCACACACTCTCTCTTATGTATAATTATTTTTGTTGCTTTTCCCCCCCTCAGAGCACCCACCAAAAGCTCGAGCATCAACTTACTGTTAATTTTGATTTTACACATGCAACTCTTATATTGGCCCAGTCAGGGCCGGATTCAGATTCTTAAGGGCCCCTCTAAGAGAAAGAGAAAGAAGCAAACAAATTGTAGTTTTTTTTAAATACTTATATTTCTAGCTTATAGTTACAGGAATAAAACTGCCATAACATTTGAATTGTTTTCTTACTGTATGCTGTTTCAGCATCA